CCCCAAAGGGGCATAGCTTTAGTCGGCCTTCTTTAACTACAAACAGCAGCTTCTTTATATGGGAAACTGATGACCATCTCAAAGACACCCGTGCTAACAGTCAGACTAACAACCCCCCCCCCACCCCCCACCCCCACCCCCACCCCCACCCCCACCCCCCCCCTTTCCAACACCTTTCCCACCCACATCCCTGTGTTGGTTTCAGGATTCCATTGTGAGGAAATAAAAATAGACCTACTGCCTTTTAAAGAAGCATGTCGTAAGAGTAGACTAATTGGGATCTTCCTTCGAAATCAGAGTGCATCTGCGTAAGATGCAATGAACCAAAAGTCTGCATAAAAATTAGCCAGTTCTGTAAAATGTATGTGCACGCACAACTTAAGTTCTGGGACAAGAATACTGTCCAGAGGTGAACGAACAACCAGAACCAGAACAACTGAAGAAGTGGAAGACTAGCAAACTGTCACAGACAGAGATACACATGCTGACAATAAGACTAACATCCAATCACAGACAGAGACACATGCTGACAGTCCGACTAACATCTAATCACAGAGAGAGACACATGCTGACAGTCAGACTAACATCAAATCACAGAGAGAGACACATGCTGACAGTCAGACTAACATCTAATCACAGAGAGAGACACATGCTGACAGTCAGACTCACATCAAATCACAGAGAGAGACACATGCTGACAGTCAGACTAACATCTAATCACAGAGAGAGACACATGCTGACAGTCCGACTAACATCTAATCACAGAGAGAGACACATGCTGACAGTCAGACTAACATCAAATCACAGAGAGAGACACATGCTGACAGTCAGACTAACATCTAATCACAGAGAGAGACACATGCTGACAGTCAGACTAACATCAAATCACAGACAGAGACACATGCTGACAATAAGACTAACATCCAATCACAGACAGAGACACATGCTGACAGTAAGACTAACATCCACTCACAGAGACACACATGCTGACAGTCAGATTAACATCCACTCACCGAAGGAGACACATGCTGACAGTCAGATTAACATCCACTCACAGACAGAGAAAAATGCTGACAGTCAGATTTACATCCACTCACAGACGGAGACATATGCTGAGAGTCAGATTAACATGCAGTCACAGACGGACACATACATGCTGACAGCCAGACTAACATCCAATCACAGACAAAGACACACATACTGCCGGCTAGACTAACATTAAATGACAGACAGAGAAACACAGGCTCACAGTCAGACTAACATTCAATCACAGACAGAGACACATGCTGACAGTCAGACTAACATCCAATCACAGACAAAGACACACATGCTGACAGTTAAACTAAAATCCAATTACAGAGACACACATGACAACAGCCAGGCTAACATATAGTGGTATAAGTAGGCCACGTCTCATGATAATGATTGTTATCTGTTAATGATCAATAACTGACCATGTCTACAGTTGTCAAAAATGGACGCACAAAGTCTGCTGGCGGCGATTCTGATATTGGCATCAACAGCGACAAACATCCAAGCCAAGACTATCCTGTTCTACCCTCCACCACCAACAAGTTACATTGTTTACCACGCCAATGTCGCCGGGGCTCTGGCCAGTCTGGGCCATGAGGTGTGGCTGTGTGTGCCACATGCTCCAGCTCACAAGAAAAACTGGTCATCGAGATAAGACTGTCAACAATCCTCTCCTACGGGGAGGACTTGGGAGGGACATCGAGAGGCAGCTGTACCAGACCACTAGGATTTTGGATAAGTTCTGGGAGGGGCAGCCAACACAGGGGATACACGCGTTGTATCCCGTCTCTCAGCTTTTTGTTGAAAACCGCAAACGTTCTTCTTGCCGAACAAACGTTTTGCTAGACAAAGTGAGGAATCTGAAGCCGGATCTGATTGTCCTGGAGTCCGTCCGCATTCACATGAACAGGTAGTACTGCCCTACATGCTGGACTTCCCCTTTGCATTTATTGAACGAACCATGAGCGATCATGTCAAAGGTCCCATTCAGTCCTGCAGTCACGCCGTACTCCATTGACTTCGTTAGTGATCGGATGACGTTCTTTCAGAAAGTTTACTTAACACTATATTACCTGGTATCTATAAACTTCGATCTTTACCACGACAGCAGCCTAGTGTCAAAGTTTGCTCCATACAAACCCTACAAGTCCATCTATGATATTGCAGCCAGCGCTGAGATTTTCATTGCAGAAGTTGACCACATACTGGACTACCCACGGACAGTGTTGCCCAACACTAAACTGATTGGTGGATCTTCTGCTTCTCCTGCAAAACCATTGGTTGGCGAGTTCCAGAAGTTTGTGGATGAAGCTACAACTGGTATCATCGTCATGTCTTTTGGCGGGGCTGTAGTTAACTTGCCTTCAGACATCTCCAACAAGATTATTTCTGCTTTTGAACAGCTGGATCTTAGAGTTGTGTGGAAGATAAATATGACATCGCCTGACCCTAAACGAATCATGACCTCCTTGTGGATTCCACAGAATGACCTCCTGGGACACCAGAAAACCAAACTTTTTGTGTCCCACTGTGGCAAGAACGGACAATACGAGGCCCTCTATCACGGTGTACCCATTCTCTGTCTGCCCATATATGGAGATCAAGGCTACAACTCAGAAAGAGTCCGGGTGAAACAGTTGGGACTCTACACCGACATACGTGAGGCCAGCGCAGACGAACTGGTAGCCTTGATGAAAGAAATCATATATGGGGGAAAATACGCAGAAAACATGAGGAAAGCTTCTGAACTTTACAGGGAGTTGTACAAAGTTCCCAAACATGAAGCCGCATACTGGCTGGATCACGTGGTTAAATATGGAGGGGAGTACATGAGGTCACCGGGTCAACAGATGCCCTGGTATCAGCTCCTCGTTTTAGATGTTATTGCTTTTCTGTTTCTCGTGATTGTCGTTATCGTGTTGGCATTTTACGTTCTTATTAGGATCTCCTACAGGTTGTACAAGGGAAGTCCAAAGAAAATCAAATCGAAACGTAATTAACTGGGCCCTTTTAAAGGTTATGGATTAGACCTTTCGGCAACGCTACAAAAACACGTCATCAGTGTGATATAGGTAATTGTACAAGAATACATAACCATGACATGGCCGGTTTATAAATTTAAATCAATGGTGAAAGTGTTACTGCGGAATAAACCGCTTACTAAACAAAATTAATTGCATAATTGTCAATATTAAGAGAACACACACACACACACTTACACTCACACACACACACACACACACACACACACACAAAGCAGTTGATAAAAACCATTAATGCTATCGTAAATGATTGCCTAAAAACCATTTACCTGATAATTTTGCACAAAATAATTGTTACTGAGATTAATTAATCAATGTTCAAAGTGTCAGTTGTTTCGTCACACAAAACGAAACTGCAGAAGTGTTTGCACTTGTCGCTGTTGTGCTGACATTGATCGATGCTATAGCAAGTGCAGACTAGAAATATAACATGATATACAAACAATTTAGGAAACAAAAGTATTAATATCTGTCTGGTGTAAACCGATGCTTAAGCAAATCGGTTGCTAGCAGTAGTATTCTTTGAAAATTAGGGTGAAATAGTTAACAAGCTAAAACATCAAAAATATGCATAACAACAAGCAAGCAAACAGACATTCATACACACAAATAAAATATGGAAGGAACAAAAGATTTTATCAAAGAAATTTAAACAGTCTGCAGCAAGTAGAAAAATATTAATTCCTAATTACGAATGACATTTAAGACTATGTGCTTTTCTTTATTTGTCGTATGCTTAATCGGCCACTCAAACATATTTGATATATCCCCAGAATACACTAGATTTATAGAAAACAAGCTTAGCGAGCTATGCAGCTCAACTGTAAAATAATGTTGTACTCAAATCAAGGATGTGAAAAATCAGTACACATATAATCATCACGCACACATAATATCTTTTTTTTTTTTTTTTTTCTAAGGGATAATTCCCTTTGTATTTTTACACATATCAGCACAATGTTAATCAATCACGTATTTATGATTTTTTGGCACATTGTTGCGCGCTGATTTGGGTAAAGTGTGATAGGGTGTGAAGGGACAGTGGTATGAGAGTAATTCTGTAGTGCCACGAGAAAGTGGACGCGTGGGTTACTGTGTGGGGCTAAAAGCATGGCTAACGAGATAAACAGAGAACGTGGGAATTAAGTGAAAGTGTGATTCTTAGGTAACATCAGCCACCCACATAAGCGTGATCATCGAGAACGTCCACATGAGCGTGAGTCTCGAGAACACCCACAGGAACATGATTCCAGAGAACGCCCATACGTGCGTGCTCTCGTGTAAACATCATCCACCCACTCGAGTTCGATGGGGATAATTTGGGGTGACTGAGTAGTCAGTCAGAGGCAGTCGAAAGAGAAGAGAAGAGAGAGAGAGAGAGAGAGAGAGAGAGAGAGAGAGCGAGAGAGAGTCAGAGACCAAGTCAAGGTCCGTGATATCTCTCTCGAGTCTAACAGACAAGAATACTGTACGACTATCAGGCATTAGGTCTGAGTAAGTGTTGAGGTTGCGGTACTGGTCGACGAAAGTATGGTCCCGTTGGCAAAGTAAGACCAAGGGGACGGAATGCTCCAGCAGTACCTGTTCTGGGTGGCGACGTAGTGAAACGTAGGAGGACCACTAGTGAAAAAGAACGGGGGGGGGGGGTGATGCCGACGAGAGCTGTGTGCTAGAGGGAACTTATGGTAGAAGTCCTGTCATCGGAGCCCTTCGACAAGCTGACGACAGTTGTGTGTTTTCGGAGTACGGCAAGGGAAGTCCGTCTCCAGTCAGCCGTGTTGTCTGCTAAAATAATATCAAGGTCCAGTGAATGGAAGAATTCGCCCTGTTCAGCTGTACGGCGCGTCCAGAGTGTGGGACGCTGTAGTCCTTGGAGCTGTAGTGGTCAAGGAGAGGTCGCTACAAATTGAGAGAGAGAGAGAGAGAGGGAGAGAGAGAGAGAGAGAGCGCGAGTGGGGACAAATGGATTATGTGCGAATGTCAACTGTGATCAATAACTACGTCTCTGCATTTGTGTCATGTATCCTGTTGAATAAAATGTATGACGGTGTCATCGTCGTCGAGTTCTGTTTCTAAGAGAGGAAGCTGAAGGGTATCTGCTAGACACCTGGTAGTGTGATGACTAGTGGTAACTCATTTAGCACACAACACACATTTATTAGCTGTTCCTGGTAGCGAGAGCCAACCGTTCAGTAAGCAACTGCAAAAAACTGATCGTAAATTTGCCTAGAAAAAGCACAACAGCCAGAAAGTGCTGGGGTTGGTTCTGCAACGTCCTGTAAAGGATACGCAACTAATATAAATAGGATTAGGTGGCACTCCTGTGGAGTCCAAATTGATGTATATCACAAAAGAAACGCGTTTCTGTTACAAGTACGTCCCCCCTCCCCCCACAGTCTGATATTTAAACCAAGAAACTGCTGTACAAGAGGGGAGACCTACCACCTCTCAGCCACTCCATATCCAACAGTTTTAAAAAAAAAGATAATGTTTGGATTCTCTCCAAAGCAGTGTTTTCCGCAGGGCATTAACGCCCTCTTAGAAGCGTTATGTGTAGTGAGGGAGGGGGCTGAATTTACATAAGGCAGCGGGAGAGAGAAAAAAAAAACAACAAAGAGAAAAAAGAAAGAAGAGAGAACATTTTGATAGACCATACCTACTTTTTTTTAAATGTTCTGTAACATATTACAATCTTAGTGACTGCTTAATTTTCATCAAAAAAAAAAAAAAAAAAACACATTATAGCATATTAGGCGTATCGTTCTCAATGATATTTATTTAAATGTGTAGCTTAGGTTTGTTGGAATATTCATATACTTTTGACATTGAGTAGACGGGGGGACCGGTGGTATAATTTCTGCAAACAGCAGTTACCACATGCATTGTTTTTACATAGACATTTTCTGTACGAACGATTGGATAGGACCGGGAAAATATCTTCTGAAAACACGTAAATAAAACAGAGACAGGGAGTAAAAATGTCAACCATTTTCGTAGTTTATATAACTGAGATTACTAACTGTTATCACTGGTAATTCCCTAACAGCATAAATAAATTAAATCCATTTAGAACCAATGCGGGTCAATGAATTTGTTGTTTAGATGGCAATTGAAAACACAACAAAAGCCTTTGATCTGCTACAAAAGTCAGTGAATAAAATTAGAGGACTATAAATAAATGGGGTCTACATCTTTAACTGACATCTTGTCGTTTTTCCAGATGTCTGTGCTGCACACGCAGCACTCAGGTTCTGGAACAGGAATGCAGTCCAAAAGTGGATGAACAACCAGAACTTTCCGCCAGAGTTTACAGCTGGTGAACACGAAGAAGTAGTAGAAGAAAAACTGGACTGTCACACTACTAACTGCCATGTATTGCTCTACCCGTTTGTCAAGTCCACTTGTCACCTTCCCCTCACCCGCAACACCCAGTTACCCTTATAGCTGTGTCTATCCTGTCAACACAAGGGCTGCCAATGATGGGTTTCTACCCCCAGATCTCGGTTTTTTTTTAACACCTTGGGTTTAAAGTTTGAAATCTGGGTTTAAAAAAAAAAAATATCCTCATTTAAAAGTGGGTAAATTTTTTTATTCGTCGCAACTATGAATTGTGTACTTTTTAACAATCTGGGTTTTTTATTTCGTTTTCTGTTCTATGCATATGTATTGCTTGGGTTTTTGTTCACCTTAGCTGGGTTAAAAAAAAAAAATCCTATTGGCAGTCCTGGTCAACATACCACCCGTCTGACCAGTAATTGACCTGTCTGCTGTAATGAGACAGAGTCTAGTCGTTGTTTGTCTTTCTCACACAATGAGACACTCGGTGTCAAGAGTCAAAAGAAGTGCTTGGAGTTTCTTAGCAAAAGTTAATGGTCGACGTTTGGTGCAGGAGAGCCTAGCATATGATACCACAACATCCAGCTTCAGAATGGAGGTGGAGGCGGTCACTGCAGCTTTCCGCTGGTTAGAGAACACGACAACACACACACACACAAACACACACACACCCACACACTTACACACACACACACACACTCACACATACATACACACACACACACACACACACACAAACATCGTGATTGTAACTGACTCAGAAAGCATGCTGAGGAAGATTAGGACTGGCATGCTTCGTGCAGAGTGGCATGCTTCGCTGCGGAGGACACGGGTGAGGAGTATTGTCTGGATTTGTTCACCGGGGAATGACGGTGTGTCGGGAAATAACCTGGCGGACAGACTGGCTGGCTCTGCACAACTTGGTGGAATACTGATACATGAAAAGGCCAACGTGGTTAGTGCCTTGTGGGAAAGCATGTACAGTTCAAAGAAGTAGATGGATTACCACAGTCTTGTGGGATAGATGCAGCGGGGAGTGACGAGGGGTTCTGGCAGATGCTCGAGGCTCAAAGGAAAGGCAAGACGGAAGTTTAAACAGAATGCTACTGGCACCATTGGTATCGGAACTCTTCGCTGGCTGCTAAATATGGGGACGATGCGCTTATGGGAATGCCCCGAGAGCTGTGATGTCGGTTCTTGAATCAAATCAATCTCACACAGTGTTAGGTAAAGCTGACTCATTGCAATATATATATATTATATATATATATATATATATATATATATATATATATATATATATATATATATATATATATATATATATATATATTTACATATATATATTTACATATATATATATATATATATATATATATATATATATATATATATATATATATATATATATATATATATATATATGTATATGTGTGGTGCGTGTGTGTGTGTGTGTGTGTGTTCACACACGTCTTTCACACATATTGGTGTATTATGAATATCAAGGGAAAAAAACCGTAAAAGCACGGGTGGAAATATGAATATCCACACACACACACATACACACCAATATATTCCCCGCCCACCCCCCCACTCACTCACACATACACACCCACATACAT